AAACATACAATAGCTGCCGTTAGAGTGAACATAGCATTTTTCAGATGAGTTGGAATCTCAGTGGGAAACTGGATGAACTAATGTTGTATCAGATGCCTTTCTCACCTAGATGCTGTGGCCCTATCATCTTGATTTTTCTTCCCTTTCAATTTTGGCATGACTTGCCAGAGGTCAAATTTTTTTCCTCTGTACTTAGAGCTTCTCAGAAAGATAAAAGTGAATCCCCACCCTGCTTTATCTTTTGTAGGCAGAATGTGATTGGAATGTGAGCAATGGAGAACAGTTGGTTGAACATTCACAAGAACATACTGTCTGATTGTCTCCTTTTAGACAAGGGCATCTCTTTTTCCCAAAGGAGTAGTAATAATCCAAACCTAGGACCTGTAGAGATTTTTATTGAGCAACCTCGCCCACAACATATCCTTGATTCTTTCCATTTATCATTCCTTTAACACCTCCTACCTGTCCTATCCCACCTACACACACTTTCTGCAGTGAACACATGCCACTTTAGACATGCTGGATTCTACGTGGCCTCTTGAGTTTTCTGCGTCCTGGACATTCCTTTGCTCCATCATTACTATGTCCAGGGATGCAGCAGAGAAGAGTGGTTAAAATCTTAGACCACCTGTGTTCAAATCCTGCCTCCACCTTGGTCAAATCACCTGTAAAGTGGGAACAGTAATAGTACCGACTTCATAGTTGTTGGAAGGAACAAACAAGTTAATACTTGTAAAGCACTAGAACAGAGCCAGCAATGTAGTAAGAACTCAGTGTTGGTATCCAAATTTAAATTTCTTCCAATCTTCAAAGACCAGATAACATCTTATCTCTTACACAAAATCTTCTCTGACTAGCCTCATCTAACCCATGAAATCTCTTACTCTTCTGAAAGAATAACACAGTTGATAGTTAATTTATTCAAATAGCACCTTGAGACAACTGCAGAATACAGGCTGCTCTGCCTATGGAGTTGCCGGTCTTTATTCCTTTCCTTGCTTTTCACTTTACTCTAAAAAAGAAAAAAGAAGAAGAAGGAAAGGAAAGAAAGGGAAGGAAGGAAGGAGACTATCTTGATATTTGGGTTTAAATCTTAAAACAGTAAGTGCTGTGGGACTTTGAGGGAGTTACTTAAGTCTCAGTTTTGTCATCTGTAAAACGGGTATTATAATACCTTAACAGGGTTATTGTGAGGTCCAAGTAAGATAAATGCTTAAAAAGTATCTCATACAGGTCCTGACTCATAGTAGACCCTCAATAAATATACATGCTCTTCCAAAGTATATTATTTAAAATTTTATGGATTGTGAAAGTGCAAGTGCATATAGGTGGGCTAGGAAAGAACTGCATAGAAAATTAAGATAATATAGCACTGTATATAAAGAAAATTATAATAGTCTCATAAACATCTTTCTGGAGCAACAATTTCCCCAGCCAGTAACTCCTACTCTGGAAACTAAACACAGCTGGCTGTATTCCCTTTAGTTTCTCTCTCTCTCTCTCTCTCGCTCGCGTTCTCTCTTTCTCTCTCTCTGTGTGTGTGTGTGTGTGTGTGTGTGTGCAGGCATGCACTCAAGCAGACACGCATATTTAGAAAAGAAAGGAATTCTATTATATACCAATTTTGCAGTCTGCTTTACTTTACATAGACATTTCCCCATCTCATTTAATATTTTTCAAAGTGAGGGTTTTGATGGGCCATATAGCATCCCATGTACATCTAAACAATCTAAACATAACTTATTTAACCATGGCCTCATTGTTGGACACTGAGGTTTTCTTTAGGTTTTAGCTATTCTAAATAATGCTGCATCAAATAGCTTTGTATATGAATATCATATGTATTTTTGATTATTTTGCTAAGATAAATTCTTAGGAATAGAAATACTGGGTCAAAGAAAACACATTAAAGGATTCAGGTACATATTGCCAACTTTTGCCTTTCTGAAAGGTTGTGTAAATTACATACCTATCAACAGTGACCACAGGTGCCCATCACGTCTCCCTTGCCAATGCTCTGTTGTGTTGTTAGTTAACTTTTTGTCTGCTTTATCTATTATCTTTCAATTTAGAGTGTAATCTTCTTGAGCAGGCACTGTGGTCATCTGCTTCTTCGTACCTGCCTTTTATACAGAACATTGCTTGGTGCCATTCACACAGTAGCCCTTGTTAATATTTGCCAAGTGAATGAATTTCTACTCACAACTATCCCTGTGGGGTTAAGAGCTGGAGAAGACTTGAACAATCACTTTCAAATTGGTCAAATTTGAAAGAGAGAGGTTTGTAGAGTTGTCCTCGGTCTCCTAGTGAGATGGGTTAGGCAGAAAACTATGAAATCACAGGTAGTTGGCCGCTGTTCAGGGGACTTGGACAAGGGAGTGGGTCCAAGAGAGAAAAAGGATGTTTTTCAGGGTCAGCTCTGCAGCGGGTTTGAAACTGACTTTCTGCACTGCTGTTCATTCTTTTTTCATAACTGGGTGTGGGGAGGGGCGGGATCTACTTTTTACAACTCAGCCATGTAGCAGAATGAGTGGAATTTTCCAGATGGTTCCTCTCGATGACTGTTGGCATAATGGCAGTTTTTCCCCCTGGGAGCCATTGGGCTGCAACCCCTGAAGCCTAGACAGCAGTTTCAGCAGGTCAGATTGTGGGATCCGTGTGTTTTTGTTGGCACAAAGAGCCATGTGGGATTTCAAGCCATAAATACCATCTTTATTTTCCTCATACAGCTCCCTACTAAATGCTTTGAGCAATGAGGCCAAAGCGAGGAAGGTGTCATAACCCTTCCCCTAAACACACATACACATCCGTCCCAAATACAGTGACTCAGATCATTCCCTGGCACTGGGCGCCTTTCTGAATGAGAGTCTGGGGTAATCTGCTGGGAATAACACATTGCTTCAGAATTGTTGTGAATCTACATACCCACTGTGAAGAGGAGTTGATGCTTCCTTTCTCCTACACTGAGAGCCTCCCTCCTCCTGGGATAGTTGTGTTTTTGTTTTCAGGTAAAAGAGGCTTAGAGTGTGAAAGTTTGCTATAGATTTCAGGACATGTGAGCGCATAATAATATCTCCCTCTTATAATTTTCCCTGTTCATTTGTGAGTTGACCACTAATCTTCCTAATACCCAGTAAACATAGTTGCCCAGGAGGCAGGTAAGCCAAAGGGGTGAATCTGGACTGACACAAATTCTCATGGATGTGAGATTGCCTTACTGTGGTGGGCCAGGTTGTTGTTTTCTTGTCTCTGTATCTATTACAGATGTTATCTTCCAGATCCTCCTTTCCTTAGAGCCACAACTTCTTTAACTTCCAGGTTGGAAGACTTCGCGTAGGATTGGAATTGTCACTGTGGTAGAATCAGTCGCTGGTGTGCAAAGGTTGGAAAATGTTAGCACTTTATTTCCCCGAGTCCCTTGCGGTTAGGAATTTGTTGTGGTTGAGGCATCTGCACCTGGTTGAGACTTGGATATGAGAGCCCAGCCATATGTGGAAAGAGGGAGGGTGATGAGATGTGCGTTTGCTTGTGCAGACTGTGCCATGGTTGTGTGGTTCTGGAGCAGCCAGCTATGGCGATGGCTCCTCATTCAGCAGGCAGCTTCCTGAGCCAGCAGCTCCTTGGCGGCCCATTTCTGTAGCATGGGTTTGGAAGTCATTCCTGGAGTCAATCCAGAGTCACTTCCTTTAACTTATCAACTCCCCTCCTTCATTAATACTCTTGTAATAAACCCCTTTGTAAACTTGCTGATACAATGCTTCAGCTGCAAAGCTATCATTTGTTTTACATTGTTCATTTGTTGACGGAGATAAAATCGTTGGAATGTTTTCCTTGACTTTGATTTTATTATGGATTTCTTTCTACCAAGCTAGTTTTGAACTATCCTGTTCTCTTTGCATGCTTTTCCTTGTGACTATCAATAACCTTATATTGCACTTTTTCCCAGAGTGAGATGGAAGTTTTTCCCAGAGTTATATTGATGTGTCCAATCATAAAAGTAAATATTCCAGGCCTGGTGCGGTGGCTCACGCCTGTAATCTCAGCACTTTGGGAGGCTGAGGCGGGTGGATCACAAGGTCAGGAGATCGAGACCATCCTGGCTAACACGGTGAAACCACGTCTCTACTAAAAATACAAAAAATTAGCTGGGCATGGTGGCGGGCGCCTGTATTTCCAGCTACTCGGGAGGCTGAGGCAGGAGAATAGTGTGAACCCGGGAGGGCGGAGTTTGCAGTGAGCCGAGATCACACCACTGCACTCCAGCCTGGGAAACAGAGAGCAGGACTCCGTCTCCAAAAAAAAAAAAAGTAAATATTCCATCTTCTTTGACCTATTTAATTTACTTGGAACAATGCTATGTGCCAATTCATGGAAGTCATGTATCACTTCTCCATAAAAGCATACAGTACTGTGTTATTCATAAGCATACAGCATGTGATGCACATATACCCTGTGCCTAACAGGCACAAAAAAAGGGCTAGGAGAAACATTTTGCATTGTCTATCAAGACATCAGTACTGACACTTCATTTTCAAAAAAAATGCACTGCCCCGTATGTAAGTCATGCCTACCGCATTTCCTGACATCTGAGAGTTGACTTAATAGATGCTAATGTGATGTTATTACCAAGGTGTCAAGTTACACCCTCTCCTCGATTGGTTCTCCTAGTTCTGCCTTAGGTTTGCTGACACTTTGCTATGAAAAACGATTCAGACATTGCAGGCATGCAAAGTCCTGGCTAGAAAAGCACTGATTTAACTGGGCAAAACTGTGCCCAGTAATTGTAAACTTAGAACATATTCCTGTAGAGCCTTCTCCCAATCCTTCAAATAGACACAGCTACAAGGGTAGAACAATTAGAGAAGTCAGACTCCAAGCCTGAATGAAGAGTGTTTTCTCATTTTGCCAGTTCTGTGAGAAGAGCTCTGCTGTGTGCTGGCAAGCTGCCTCTTGGGGAACAAGCATTTCTGAGGGAGCAACAAACATTCTGTCTCAAATTCGGAACTAAAAAAGAACTTTATTTATTGAGGGCAAGGGGATGCAAACAATACAAAAATCAAAAGCTTATCTGGTATTTAACTTTCCTTTCTCAGCTTGTCAAATGGGAGTTAGATTTTATTTTTACATTTGCTAAGGGTCCTGATCTGCTCATGAAATCCTTCTATGGGGGAAGCTGTGGGGCAGATTCCTCAAGCGACCCTTTGGGACAGCTCTTATCAGGGAGGAGGGAATTGCTCGTTTTTGCCTACTTCTTTCCCTTCTGCTTCATGTGTACTACAAAATAGTCATTGCATGCAATGGTGAGGCCCGCAATTAGGGAAAAGAAGCTCTGGAAGCCCACTTTGCCATCTCTGCACTGGTCCAGGTCCTTCATTATTTTGTCCACGGCCAGAGGGTCTTTTTGATTCTGAAAAACAAAGAACAAAGGCAAGAAATATCGAAGGTTGCAATGATGAGCTTATTTGATTTGTACTGCTGAGACGTGTGTACATACCTCCCAATTACTTGAGCTCTTGTTTTAGGTCATAAGCAACCTTTGGAGGTCATCTAAATGTATTTTTCTTTTTTTGCCTTGAGGGAGCATTTCAGAAATTTCATAGTTAGATTCTGCCTAAGAACCACCCTAAGTTCCTCATTTTGTGGTTTAAACTTACATTCTCTTATTAAAATTTTATTCCCAATAGCATGGTCAAATCCCTTGCAAAGGAAACTCCTTATGAAAAGATATTTTGGATTTAGGGAGTAAGTTTTCGATCACTGTCCTATGGATTTTAAAGAAGTGCTAATGATGCCATGGATTGTTTTAGGTTTGGAGAAGACAGCTCTCATTCTTCTTGGCACAGCTGAGGCCAAGCTAGTGTGGCTTCATATTGTATTAGCCACATCATGCTGAGTGAACCACTTAGTGGGCCGTTGTGTATCAACGATGAATTGAGGAGGCTGGACTATAATGTTTCTAGAATCCTTCCATTCTTTGAATTGGTAAGTCTATGCCATCCTATACTCTTCACCGGACGTTGTACATCGGACCAGTTTCAAAAGGAGTATGTGTGATGGAGTCTTAAACTCCCCATGGCTCTCAGTGCCTACTAAGAATGTGTGGGACAGAGATGGGAAGGCAAGATCCCCTTTGATTTTATCTGGCTTCCATGGTGATTGGCTTTTGGCTTCATCACTCGTTTTTGTAGTGATGCTGGTCAGAAGTGGTAAGCTGTGGTTTTTCCTGTAGGGTCCATGCCATCAACCAGAGAGAGAAATATGGCCTGTTTAGGTTGTTAAAGGGCTCAGGTAAAGTATTTATGAATTCTGATGACTATATTCATGAGTGAGAGAAATGATACACAGTGTTTCAAGAGTGCACTAGATGTTTCTAAATAGCACTCGGAAATTCCTAAAAGTATAGCAGCAGCATTTCCCACATAAGCACTGCAAACTCCTACTCTAGCTAAACCCGCTCTATGCAGCTCTTGGTGGGTTTCGGCTAATTCTGGCTTCACCCTCAGCTTCCTGGCTATGGTCAGAATGAGTGCAATCTGGATGACATAAGGGGTCTACTTTAGAAACAAAACGCTCTGTTAATGCAGTGAGTGTAGGTGTTTCCGGAATTATGACTCTGTGCCTGGAATAAATCACCCTGCCATGTTTAGTGCTCCACACTACATATACCCTTTATGTGTCTCATGCCACAAAACCTTTAGGAAGAAAGGGTCTGTGTCTTATGTGATACTCACTCGGGCTTCTAACAACACTCTTAACAAGTGTTTAGCATACTGAGAATGCCTTTGTCCATAGGACGGGCAGGCTTACAATGAGCACATTTTGTCCTTGCGTCTTAAATGCTTGTCTTGACTGATCATAGAAAGTGAAAGTGACCTTGCAGATAATTATGTCCAGCCTTCTCCAATTTTACAGGGGAGAAACTGAAGACTAGAGAGCTGAAGCAACCTGCCCGTTGTTAGTTAAGGCAGAGCCAGATCTTCTAACTCCTGGTCTGGGGCTACATCACAGGACTCTACAAAAGCAGAGGACCTGCATATTCCAGCTCATTCTGGGATAGCATTAGGTAATAACTCTCTGAGAGAGTAGTTAGGCTATTTATATCTGCTTATTTAACTGATATTGATGCTATGTGAATTATAGTATACTAAAAAGCCTCGTGTTTATTGATTGCAGGAGTCAGGGGGGCTTGACTAACGTGCTATTTACGAGGCAGATGACAAGAGGCAGGACCCAACCTTTTACCGTATCTCCTCTCACCCTTTAGAGGTTAATGCATTACTCAACACCAAGCACAGAAACAATCTTTTCAGGTAACTACCATTTTGGTAGGGAAAGAAGGGCTTGCATTTCAGCCTACTATTTTGTCATGCAGTGTTTCACCTTCAGTTGAATCCAACAGCCATCTCTCAAGAACCTGGAACATAAAAGGACAACTGTGCCTTGTGGCCCCATGTCCTGAGTCATGTATCTGAGCTAATGGCAGAGTCCTCTTCTCGGTCTTCATGCATCTCTCAGTCTGTCAAAGGTGAGACATAAACTCAAACTGCTCCTGTGCTGTCAGAGCATTATTACGTGAAAAGCAGTTATTTCTGGAGTGACATGTGCCTCTCATTCAGTAGATGACTGACGCTGCTCCTTTCAGTATTAGAAAAAGTAAAAACAATCCCTTTATCTGAAGAGATTTAAGAAGTGAGATTCAAGTTGCTCGAAATGGAATGTGACCAGGATGTGGCATCTCCACCACCAGGTTTTTGGACCTGAAGATAGCCATTTTCTGGTTGACTACTCTTTTGTGAAAAGCTTTCTTTCTCCCAACTCTGTCCCCAACATCATCACAACAGACACAGATAACCAGATGGGATTTTCCAACAAACAGCTCACATCGTAGTTATTTGTATGTAGTCTTATTTCACCTGCAGACTGTAAGCTCCTTGAAGGCTGGCGCCGTGTCTTCATTACTTTCTATTTCCTCAACAGTATCTTACAAATAGCAGGTACTCAATATTATTTAATAAATGAATGAATGACCTCATTCATTCCTTCCTTCCTTCAGGTGACTACATTCATTCATTCACTAGTGGTGACCTCCACAGGGAAGGGATGGAAACAAGAAGGAAAAGGAACCAAGGCCTAGAAGCACTGACTTTTATGTCTGGTTCTTTGTAAGCCTTTCAACACTTACTTCCAAAAATCCAGGAAACTCCTTTTCCATGAGTACTCTCAGGTCCTCCTTTGTTAAGTAGCCTTTATCCCCCGCGAATTTGTGAAATGTAAACATCATGGTTTCCATGGCATGCTCCATTTGAGACGGCATTTTGGTGTGGTCTGTTGAAGCCTATTAAAGGATGTAAAGAAACAGGGTCTACATTAACTTCTTTTGGCAGACTTTATGAATGAATTTATTTTTTTTTTAAATTGAAAGATAATATTGTATGTATTTAACGTGTACAACATGATGTTTTGAGGTATATATACATTGTGGGATGACTGAATCTAGCTAATTAACATATGCATTACCTCACATAGTTAGCACTTTTGTGGTGAGAACACTTAGCCACTCTTAACTATTTCTCAAGAATACAATACATTGTTATTAACTACAGTCACATTGTTGTACAGTAGATCTCTTAAACTTATTCCTCCTAACTGAAATTTTGTATCTTTTGACTAACATTGCCTCAACATCACTCCAGTGCAATCACCCCAGCCCATTCTATTCTTCAGTTCTATGAAATTCAGTGTTTAAGATTCCACATGAGTGAGATCATCTGGTAATTGTCTTTCTGTGCTTGGCTTATTTCACTAAGCATAATGTCCTCCAGGTTCATCTAGGTGGGTTTACATTAACTTTTAAGCCATATGTATTGCCAACCTTTTTAGGATAATTGGAATGATGGAGATGAGATCATTCATCTGATCCTCTCCAGCTTTAAAATTCAGTGAATGAATCTAAGAGCCAGACCACCCTAGTCTGGGTCTCTTGTTGGTAGAAATAGACACCTCAGGTACTGGTGCTGTAAATAAAGGGGTTTATCTAACTCCAGCTAATTTGCATAAATAACCTAATAAAGAACAGAAACTCTAATCATTTAGAAAAGCAAGATCAGTGTTCCTCTTTTTTTTTTTTTTTTTGAGATGGAGTTTCGCTCTTGTTGCCCAGGCTGGAGTGCAGTGGTGTGATCTCGGCTCACTGCAACCTCCGCCTCCCAGGTTCAAGCGATTCTTCTGCCTCAGCCTCCCGTAATCTCCTGTAATCTCTCAGCTGGGATTACAGGCGCCCGCCACTACGCCTGGCTAATTTTTTGTATTTTTAGTAGAGATGGGGTTTTGCCATGTTGGGCAGGCTGGTCTCAAACTCTGACCTCAGGTGATCTGCCCACCTCGGCCTCCCAAAGTGCTGGGATTACAGGCGTCAGCCATTGCGCCCAGCCCAGTGTTCCTCTTTTTACTGACAAAGCACCTACTGAAAGAACAGATAGTTCATAATTTCTCTTGGCACTAGTAAATGGGATTCTTAGATATGGCTGATACTAACAATACACACAGTCAAGCCTGGTGAATATGAAAACTTCAACCTTCTAAGCTTAACGTGGTAACTTGGTTCAGTCTGATTCTAGGGTTTAGAAATCTGCTTACAAATGAATTTATCTGCTGGGTATATATGTATTCTTTACTAAAGTTCTGAACTTGTTATTTATTGCAATAAAGACAGCTGCATCTCTGGCAGTAAAATGCAGTTGATCTACCCAAATAAAAAAAACTACTCAAAGTCCATTGTCTACTTCACTTGAGAAGCAACAAGTAATACTATAACCTAACTCATTTGAGGGTCTTCTATGTTTTTAGTGACACTAGACAGATGCGCTGCTCTCACAGTCTGGGGTACACTGGGAGAGCAAGAGCTTTCATCATGAAGCATTTATAAGAAAGGAAAGGAAACATGTCAGATCATTACATTCAGGCATAATGAACTAGGGGTATATGTCTCATCAAGACCCAGTATGTGGTACTTAATAGAACCTCAGTGAATTTTGGCTTAATTGGAAGGAATCATTTGGCCAGAACAGATAAGCTTTGGCTAATATCATCTAAAATCACTACTGGATAGGAAACAGGTGAACACAAATGGAGACTGTAATATAGCACTAAAAAATAAAAATAAATAAATCACAAGAATACGCTTTGAGTTTAGATTGAAGGGCTGGCAAATTCCTCTGCTGAAGAACTCTAACAGGAACCTGAGACATAATTTGGTCTGGTTCCTGTCTCTGAGAGATGCCTATTCAACACTGATTCGCAAATGCTTTCTTTTACAGAGGAGAAGGTGGAGTTGGTAAACATGAGGATTGAGCAATTAACACTTAAGAATTGTAAATTCTACCCATTAATCTCCAGAAAAGTATGGGAACCAGCAGGCCAAAGAATGCTATAAATCAAAATCTGGCATGAGTCATCTGAAAGGCAGTTAGTTATCTTGGAGAGAGCTGCAAATTAATGCTTCAGGGTCTGCTGTGAGATGAATTCCAGGGGAACCACACCCTTTTCCTTCTCTTCTGACACAGCTCAGATCTGGCTCATCCCCCATCCCTCATATGGGCTTCAGATGGCAGTGGGCTTACAGAGAGTCTGCCTTGCCTAGATTGGTACTCCAAGTCCAGCAATTTAAGAGAACTGAACTGGGCGAGTCACCTCTGGGAGAAGGACATGGGATCTCACCCCAGTTCTTAAATAACTCAGGAAAGGAGTCAGACACCACAGAGGTTTAAAAATAACTGTGCTCAAGTTCAGAGCAGCAGAGCACTTCAGGATCAATTCCCAAAGATCCCAGAAATTGGAACTGGGTGGGGTACCTAGTTTACCTTTTTCAGATGACAGGGCAGAAGGAAAGTGCAGAATTAAGAAAGGGAATGCAGCAGGGTAAGGACCTCTAAATTTTAAAAAGGCGAATTTAGGAGCTCCTAAGAAATACAAGTTGTCAGTCGAGGAAATCCTGGCCACCCTTGAGTATCTTCTTCAAGAGAGCAAGTGAGTGCTCAGGTCTGAAGTCACTCAGTCCCATGTCTCTCTTGCCCACAGCCATTACGAAGTGATGGAGCTTCCCTCTCTGAAGTTACATCCTTCTCCCACTGTGTCCTCCCCTCCCCTCCTCCCCCAGCTGTTTTATTCAGTGGATGGGTTATGAATACTGCAGCCAGCTGACTCCCTATGTGTCCAGTAGACCTTCTGCAATAAGGATGCAGAGCAGGGGCTAGCCAGGAGGTGAAAATAGCATTGAAAACTAGGGGGGAAGCCTTTGTCTCCTCAGTAACCAGTGCCCCAAAGGGCACTGACCAGGGCCACAGCAAGGAACTCTGTTTTGAAGGAGCTGCACACTGGCTCTAAAATAAGACAAAGTAAAGGGGGAAATGTTGTGATTAAAACTGTTCTCTTGGCTAGAGGATGAATCATGACTGCAGCCAACAGTTACCCGATTGAGTCAGCCCTGCCTGGCCCTCCGTTCTTGGGTAGGGCTTGCCTGGGCAGGGCTGTCTGCAACACTGACTGTTAGCCGCTAAAACTGAAGCTCTTCAGGGACTTCAATCTGGCATTTCCACCCTCACCTAGCCACCCTGCAAGCTCTATTCCTGGGCAGATGTGGGCTTCCTGCATCCTGGTTAGACACACTTTGACAGGAGGGCTCGGGGCTGGGGTTGAGAGGCAGCAGTGTCCTTTCTATTCCCAATAACTTACTCTTGTACCTGAAACATTCAATTCCATTTAATTGTTTACTCGTCTGACTGAGATTTAAGCTTCTCTTGATCAAGAACTACAAATTATTCTGCTTTTATTCATGGAGCACTATATAACTGTTATGTGCATAAATGAACCACACGATCCCTTGGGCAGTAGCTGAGGTACAGGTGTCATTACCCAGGACTAGGCTGAAAGCCTTGTAGCTCAGAGCTCAGGAGGACAATGTGAGAGCTGGGAAGGGCCAGGAAAGGGGCCCCAAAAGTGTTCAACTATGAACGGAACAGCAGAGTACACAGGAGTGCACATTCCATATGCAAAAGGAAAAATACGTGTCCTGCTAAACAGGTCTAGTCAGAATGACATGACTGTGCTCCTTCTCTTCTAACACTTGCTGTTTTCTCATGTTTCATTCATCCTGTCTTCTACTTTATGCTTTTCTAGTGCTGCTGTCTCACTGCTGAGCTCCACAGGATATAACAGCCTTGCTGTCCACTCACCTTTTATTGAATTATTCTATTCTGATGCCTATACATGCCCTCTACACATTTGCCTGAGCAACAGGTCTTAAGAAGGGAGGCTGACATCTTTCTCTGCATAGTTTTCTCTACAGAAAACAATTCTGGACTCCACAAATGTAGTTACCATAGGAGGAATTCAATTTTCCATTTTTAGGTTCTCCTACCCTGAGCACCTACTTTGAATGTCCCAGACATGGTGTTAGGCATGAGGGTGTTCACACACACATGCACCCACGCACACACACAAAGCTCTCCATGGTGCTTGCCTTTGAGGCGTTCACCAGCTAACGGAATATTATTAAAGCATTTGGCCTGAATTCTAGTTATTTGTGTTTCTGTTTCTTTCCTCACTAGGTTGCAGGTTTTCTGAGCAGGGTCCCAGTAGCCAGTGCCCCAGCCCTCATAGAGCCTGCTCAATGAATTGTTAAGAAATTGATAATAATGTATTTTGGTTTTCCTGGGAGTAGCAGGGAAGCAGGAGTCCTCCTCAGAAAAGTATCTGCTCCTGAACAATCTCAAATGTTTGCTTTGGACCTATGCCCAGATCCTGGCTGCAGTTTCAAAGAGGACACTTCTGAAGAGTGAGTCGGACTCACTCTTTGCTCCTCTGTATCTTGTCCATACCCTAGTTTTCTTACAGCCCACCCAGAAAATAAACGGCAGAGCATCAGTAAAAACAAACATCTGTTATTTAAAATGTTTGAGGTTTCCTTCCTTTCGCTTTGGAAATTTTGGATTTTTAAAAATTGAACCCAGAAGGCATTCCTGAATTTGATCTCTGAAGGAAATTCAGAAAAAAATGAGTTGAAGCAATGGATCTGGATCCAGTCTGTCTCTCTCACCTCTCACCAAATAAAACTTGCCCACTAAAGAACTGGGCAGCAAAGGAAAGTTTCAGATGCAATTCAATAGGAAGAAAGATCTTGGAAGAAACCTCCTCCAATCTAACCGAGTACATCAATTTTTCCTTAAAGAATGCTCAGGCATCATCTTGATCAGCCAACATAGCTATTGTCACAACTGCTGTTAAATCCTTTGGTAGGATGGGTGGTACATATTTAGTAAAGGGATAGAAAGTGCTGAAAATTGTTTAAAAGAAGTAAATTCTCTTTTTGCTTTTGATGTGAGATTCCTAAATTTGTTGAGTCCCCAGAAAAATGAGAAACTTAAGATGTTAAAATTTTAGTCCAGCTTTCTCAGCACTTTGAGTGCTAATTTATACATTATAACCCTGAAAGAATTCCATTGTTTCTCTCAACTTTACGCTTTAAAAGACTGGACTGTGTCCAAGGGTATACCAAGTGGGTTGTGCTCTACAAAAGTCACATTTTTTGAACTGTCAGTAGAAAGCAGGGAGGCACACAGTCTCAGCTCCACCCAGCTCAGGCCTGACCTCACTGGAGTGGCTGCTTAGCAGGCTGGCCAGAGGCCAGCACACTAGAGGAAAGGGGCCTATCTGATATGCCTGAGAAAAGCTAGGAAGAGCATCACCTAGAAAGCAGGGTGAGACCCAAAAATTGCTTCATGCCCAGTAGACCAAAAAACTGGAAGAACCGATATAAGAAACTCCAAATGGTGGATCAAGGGCCACAGTGAAGAAACTACCCTCTGGCTGTGAAGGAACAAATACACCATTTGCAAGGGATGATTAAACAGAAACTGGATAGGAATCTGTGGGGGCAGGGCCGATTAAGAAACTTCCAATAAGTTATATGAACTCATTCCCACTCCAACCCCTGGCATTATCTTTTGCAATTTGCTGTAACATGTTGGAGGCAAAGATCACTGCCTGGGTGTTTCCATGAGCCTGGCCTCACCTAAAACACACAACATAAAACTTCACTCCTGGAGACTGAAACTCAAGCTTCTGGGGAAAAATACCCGCAACAACAGCAAACCTCTTAACGGGAAAGGCTACCTCCCAAGTAAGGCTGAGGCAGGCTGCCAGGCGCATACTGGCCGATAACGAAAAGCGGTTTCGCCAAGGCCCTACAGATCTAATTATCTGCCCTCACCCGCAATTCAGTCAAGAAACCTCTCCTGAAGACTGGCGGCCAGTCCAGGTGTGACTCACTTCCTCTTGGAAAATGCCCTCTGAGATGGCACAGTTCTCCTTTTCCTTCAGGGAGTGTTCTGTCCAAATCATCCACCGAGAGTATCTGCAACCGGCCACACCCACATGGTCTCACAGCTGAGTCACAGGCCTCCGACCACTAGGAGAATCCTGGAGCCCTTTGTGCTAACCACGCCCTGCAGAAGCTCTCGCAGGGACAGAACCGGGTGGGGGCGGAAGGCGGGGTGGGCTTAATGCATCCCAGAATCTGGCTTAGGGCTCCCCTGTGCTGGCCTGGCTTGGAGCTCTCTGCATTCCACCCCCAGCCAACAAGGCAGAACTCCTGGTTTCACTTAGGTAGAGCTGGACCAAGGCTGGACAGGGCAGCAGTGTCCACGGCTAGGGGCAGCGCCATTCCTTCGGCCAAAGCACAGGTGGTGAACCAAGTACCAATGGCACGTCTGTCTGTCTCACTGCGCCGGGCCAAATTAATCTATGATTGGAAAATCCTTCATCAAGACTGCTCTTCCTCCATCTCTTTCTGGTTCCACTTATTAAGAGAGCAGGGGAACCCTTTCAGCAGAGAAACCACGTCACACAGGGCCCTCTCCCACACATCCCAGCCAAACTGCTTTAGAAAGAAACAAGTGGACCTCCCGCCCTCGGCAGGAAGACCCTTCCCGTCGAGCAGACAACAGGAAGCCCCAACCTGAAACGCCTGTTTGGCCGAGGGACTAAGGGGTACGGAAGGGACGCCCCCAGCTGCCTACTTGTCCTACCCGCGCCCGGTTGGGCCGTCCAGCCGGGACCACGTACGAACGTGCAGACCCGGCCTGCGGGCGGAACCCACCAAGAAACACGCCAGCCAGGGCAGGGGCGTGCAGGAGGGGTTCGGTAACCCGAGAGACGAGTGGGAAAGCAGGAAAGGTGGGAGTAAAGCAAGGCAAACATAAAGTGAGGAGGGAAGAGGTTCAGGGGCTCACCACGGTCCCCTCCTAAAGAACAAGTGTCCCCTCCTCTGGTCCGCGTGGGTCTGGGGGTGGCCGCGCCCGGGCCGGGAAGGGGCGCTGCTGGCCTCGTCTGGGTGTGGCCTGGAGCACTAAGCAGTGGATTCCCCACCAGCCGCTCCCCACCCAGCTCCGCGGTGCCCGGGACGCCCCGCGAAGCCGGGTGCGGGGGTTTCCCCGGGCAGCAGGTCCGGGGCTGGGGACTACTCAGGAGGGGCGCGTGGGCCGCGCGGAGCTCACCTTGGCCGAGGCGCGGCGGACGCTGGGCGAGCTGGACGCGGGGCGGCGAGGCGAGCGCGGCTGGCTGTGCGCCTTCCTTAGTACGTGCGGCGGGTGGGGAGAGGGAGGTGGCGCGGGAGCGGGTGGAGCCTGGCGGGCGCTCGGCAGGGCGCTCCCCAGCCCTGTCTCCTCCCCCTCTTCCTGCCCCCTACTCCCCCAACCCCGGGCGCGCGGCCCACGCCCTGCCCTCGCTACCGGACCAGCCTCGCTGAGGCCTCGCCCGCCCCAGACAGAGCGTTCTTGTAAACTTCTCTTCAGTAGGAACGGTCCTGCTCTTGAATATTTCAGGGCATCCCCACCCTGGGCCTGCCCTTCCTCTCGGGTTTGGTTTTAGGAAGTGTAGAAATCAAAGAACCCGGCAGTCCTGCGGGTGGGGCACGCTGGCGCAGAACCAGAGGTAACCGGCTCTGTGGGCACCTACGAGTCTAGGACTTACTTGCTGGATGACCCTGCAGGGAGTTGCACGTGGAGTCCTATCAACCTCAGAGGCACTATCAGATTAGCCCTAGGAGGTCCGTCCGGGGGTCTCGGCGGCCTGCACCCGTGGCGGGGCGGCACCTCCCCAGAAGCCGGGCTCCCGGCCCCGCCGGCCCGCGAGGTGCCGCAGGGAGGGTGCGGTTTGGCTTGTCAGCACCCAGAGCGTCACAAACCCTTTGTTGAACAGGGGATTTACCCCTCTTGTGGCTTCACTTGATCAATAGTTCAGTTTCAGTGTGGCTAATAGTGGTAAAAACTGGCCGGGCGCGGTGGCTCACGCCTGTAATCCCAGCACTTTGGGAGGCCGAGGCGGGCAGATCACCTCAGGTCAGGAGTTCAAGACCAGCCTGGCCAACATGGTGAAACCTTGTCTCTACTGATAAAAAAATTAGCCGAGAGTGGTGGTGCGCGCCACCAGGAGACTGAGGCATGAGAATCGCTTGAACCCGTGAGACAGAGGTTGCAGTGAGCCGAGATCGCACCACCGCACTCCAGCCTGGGCGACAGAGTGAGACTCTGTCTCAAAAAAAAAGTTAAAAACTAAGTTTCCAAGGCATTATGCTGTGGTCCTTAAAAGTCCTTTAGAATAATTTTCTGGAATAAATTAAGAGAAAACCTAAGTGTTTCCTAGGGGATGCTTACCAACTCCTCGCCCCTCCCCCTCACTCCCTTTTATTTTAATTGTGACTTAGGGTTAAATACAAACTACTAGCAGCTGTTGGTGGAAAAGAGCCCAATGCCAAACTCTGGGGTTTTCCTTTGTTCCCACGGGAGGCCTTGGGAGGAATGAGTGATCCCAAAGGAATGAGCAGACTTGGGGAATCCTCCAAGTGCCACCTCTGACTAATCTTGGCTGTTGCCAGGAAAACCCAACTTGGATTTCAGCTATTACTTTCCCTGCGATCCTGGTGCTGACTATTCAAGGGGACAGCTCTTCGAGATCTTCCTGTATACAGTACTTCACAGTCCCCAGGTCACAGTCACCAGTGGAGGAAATCTTGAATCCCTTTTGTTGCAGGGATTGCAGTGCGACTGGGTTTAGAATGGGAATGCATGGGTTTGCATACCCCTACTCATCTAATTTCTTCATCTGGTCCACAGACCTTAGGAGTGCTTTAGTGTGTGTGGTAGGCCTGGGAATTGAGGGATCTCTTCCTTTGAAGAGTTCCAAGTATTGGGAGTTAGATAAGCAAACAATTAAAATCCAGTGTGCTCAGTGAATGGTAGAGGATACTATGGATACTAGGAGAACACTGAGGAGGGGCTTCCAAGTCCTCTTGGAGTGGTCACAGGATAATTTCTGCAGGAAGCAACATTGGGTAGAAATTTGAAAACAACAATAACACTTATTGTAACTTTTTAATCTGTACAAAGATTTCATTCTTAGAAGACTTGGAAAATATATAATGTATAAAAAATGATTTATAAATACATGAGCCAAAGATAAACATTTTCATATTTCTTTCTAGTCTTTTTATGCATACGTAACAAATATTTGCATAATTGTGATCATACTGATTATAAAATTAAGTACAGTCATTCACTGCATAACAATGTTTGAGCCAGTGATGGATCATGCATTCAATAGTGGTCCCATAAGATCATAATAGAGCTAAAAAATTCCATTTGCCTAGTGACCTTGTAGCTGTCTAGCACAGTACTTTACTCATGTGTTGTGGTGATGCTGGTGTAAACAAACTACTGTGCTGCCAGTTGTATAAAAATAGAGCACATACCAATTATATGTAGTATGCAATACTTGGTAATGACTATGTTACTGCTTTATGTATTTACTACATTATACTTTTCATCATTATATTAGAGTGTATTCCTTCTACTTATTAAAAAAACAGTAAAACTTAAAAAAAAAAAGTTTTAAAAACAGCCTCAGGCAGGTCTTTCAGGAGGTATTCCAGAAGAAGGCATTGTTATCATAGGAGATGTGTGTTGCCCCAAAGACCTTTCAGTGGACAAGATGTGGAAGTGAAAGACAGTGATATTGATGATCCTGACCCTGTGCAGGCATAGGCTAATACATGTGTTTGTGTCTTAGTTTTGTGTGTGTGTGTGTGTCTTAGTTTTTAATAAAAAACTTAAAAAATAAAAAACCAAAAATTTTAAAGATAGAAAAACCTTACAGAAGAAGGATATAAAGAAAGAAAACATTTTCTACAGCTGTACAATGTGTGCTTTAAGCTAAGTGCTATTACAAAAGAGTCAAACATTTAAAGAATTTACAAGTTAGGCTGGGTGCGGTGGCTCACACCTGTAATCTCAGCACTTTGGGAGGCCCAGGCGGGCGGATCACGAGGTCAAGAGGTCAAGACCATCCTGGCCAACATGGGGAAACCCCGTTTCTACGGAGAAAGAACTAGCCAGGCGTGGTGGCACGTGCCTGTAGTCCCAGCTACTTGGGAGGCTGAGGCAGGAGAATCGCTTGAACTCAGGAGGAGGAGGTTGCAGTGAGCCGAGGTTGCACCAGTGCACTCCAGCCTGGAGACACAGCGAGACTCCATCTCAAAAAAAAAAAAAAGCAGAAAAAAGAATTTCCAAGGTTATAACATAAATTTATAGTAATCTAAGGTTAATTTATTATTATTATTTTGGTTTTTTGAGACAGGGGCTTCCTCTGTCACCCAGGCTAGAGCGCAGCAGTATAATCTCGGTTCACTGCAACCTCCGCCTCCCGGGTTCAAGTGCTTCTTGTCCCTCAGCCACTGGAGTAGCTGGGATTACAGGCATATCCCACAGCGCCTGGCTAATTTCTGTTTTTTTTAGTAGAGATGGGGTTTCACCGTGTTGGCCGGGCTGGTCTCAAACTCTTGGCCTCATGTGATTCACCCATCTTGTCCTCCCAAAGTGCTGGGATTATAGGCATTAGCCACTGCATCTGACCAGGTTATTTTATTATTGATAAAAGAAAAACTGTTTTAAACATAGTGTAACCTTAAGTGTACAGTGTTTCTAAAGTCTACAGTAATGTACAGTAATGTCCTAGGGCCTTACATTCACTCACTACTCACTCACTGACTCACCCAGAGCAACTTCCAGTCCTGCAAGTTCCATTCATGGTAAGTGTCCTATCTGTACAGCATTTTAAATCTTTTATACCATATTTTTACTGCACTTTTTCCATGTTTAGGTACACACATACTTACCATTGTGTTATAATTGCCTACAGTATGCTATTCAGGGTTGTACCGGTAGTAGGAGCCCTCGACTGTACCATACAGCCTAGATGTGTAGTAGACTATACCATCTAGGTTTGTACAAGTACCTTCTATGATGATTGCAGGATGAAATCGTGTAAGGACACATTTCTCAGAATGTATCTTCATCATTAAGTGACATCTGACTGTTTCTATTTTTATCCCATACT